TATACTCTTGAAAAATCGCGAAGATTAAAATAATACATGCAATTAAATTTATTGAGTGTTTAAAATTATGCCTCTTCATTGCAGTATTAATTAAAGAGCTTATTTATTAATAGGTACAGAAACTGCTTGCGAATCTCAAATTTTCACGAAAAAGGAAGTAAAATAAATATATTTACAGATTGAATACAGTGAAATGACGCTTACATTTATGAATTTATACACAAAAAGTATCACACCGTACAATCAAATGGGCAGATATGATTATTAGTTATTTACGCTAAACAAATTAACGCACCGGAAAAGTAGCTCTTTTGCACTATCTCAATCGAGGTATTCAAAAGATTATCACTTTTTAAGTTGCTTTTATGCAAGATGTTTTAATTCCTTACATGCGATAAAATAATCTGAATATTTGAATCGCCAAATTCACGGAAAACACGTAGTAGATCGCATATTTTAAGAATACATTAAACCAGTTTGATTTCCCATTTGTAATAACTATAGTTTTGGTCATTGTTACCGTGAGTGAACTTTATAACTTAAGCTGTTCAAATAAAAACTTTTTTTTTTCAAAAGAAAAGGTGGAACTTGTTCTAGACTGGTTTGATTTTGGGAAAATGTTCATCCTAATGGCATTTTTAGTACAAGCAGGTAGTTGGGCTTATTTACCTATTTTGAGTACGCTGAATTCATTTTTTGCTCTACCACGGCTGTATTTTTAGTCCTTGACCTTTAAAAATCAATTTCAAAATGGCCGCCATTGAATTTTTTAATTTTACTTTAATTCTCCCATGGGCGAGATATATACACAATTTGTTGAATTTTAATTCAAGGCTTTGTTAATTTTAGTCTGCTGAAGTGTGGACGAGAAGAATAGAATGCAAAAACAATAAAATTTATTGCGGCAGCCATCTTGGATTTCAAATTTGCGGACAATTTCCTATGTTTTATACACTGTATTATAATTAAAGTAAACAAGCACAAGAAGGCATTTTACTAGGCATGTTTTCTTTTATAAGAAGTGCAGTTATACTAATTAAGACTTCCAAGCGAAGACTTTGAAAAACATCCATTAAAACTACAAACTTAATGGTGCAAAAAGGTCACAATTTATACCCTAATACAACGTAAATGAGAGTCATATTTGCGTTCACTTTTGTCATTTAGATAATTTATACTTCTAAGAATACAATGCATGTTCTTTAAATTATTGCGCGATGTTTTTTAAAACAATCGTCCTGAGGGGGACCTGCTCAAATATCTGTCCGTCTGTCTATCTATCCGAGCGTCCTCTTGTGTCAGTTAGGGGTATTTGCGATCACAATTTGGCTTTTAGATTAATTCCGTATACCCCCGACCTATAGGATGAATCATTGATTATGGGAGGCAAAAGGCTGCTTTTGGAGTAGGAAGCAAACATGAAGATAACATACACCTCCACAAATCTCGCATTAAGAGCTTGTCCCTGTCTGTCCGTTTTTAATCCCGTCCATATATCTGTCATTTTTGGATAGATTTTGAAATAAATTGCATTAATGTGTGGCACATTGATACAATGTCATAAGAAAGACCCAGGTGTGAAGCTCAACTCCTCAAGTAAGACTTGAAAGTGCTTGAATAAAGATGTGCATTTTAGTATTACATTGTATGTCATTTAGAGATGAATTTTGAAATAGTTAAGCACAAATATACGGACTATAACGGATTGGGAAATGAGATTCTTTATAAAATATATTATTACTTAATCTTCAAACAGGGATACCATGAAAATTGTTTGTTTATTGCTTATGTCAATGTCAATGGCGCAAGAACATGTACTGGGACGTGTAATGCTTGAAAGCCAATTCAACAGTCCAAAGACCAGGGTCATGTTTATCAAGAAAGGCAATTTTGTAAAAGTTCAGAAGTGGGGAACCCGGTCAACAATTTTTCATGCACGACCTGATATTTAAAAAAAATCTTAGTATTTCCAAAAGTAATATAGGAATCGCCATCCAGGCTAGCATTCGAAAATATTTTTTTCCATGAAATAGACTACTTACCTGGATAAAAAAGTTAAAGTTTCTTCTTGTAAGAGAAATATTCCATATGGTGTTTATCCCATAGAAGCCTCTACATACTAGTGCCGAGCTTCGTGCATGAGGATAGTTTTTCATTTGCTTATATGCACATGTCGGTTGAGGCCCCTGTGTTAGGACTTTTTTCGTGTATTTTGTTATCATGTGATATTAAATTATCTGTTTTGATTGGCCTAGAGCAGGCGGAGTTCGGGTAAAATTATTTGAATCTTGTTAATCTTCCAGATTATAAACATTTTGAGGAATTGTTACGTGCGCTTTGATGTTGTCAGAACTGATGAATTCAAGAAATATGTACTTCCCAAGTGATCTCGAATGCGTTTCATTCGACAATAATTCTGTACCTTCCTTGACGTGAATAAAAAAGGTCTCATTAACAATGCTGATATTCTCAGTCTTGGGTGATGTATAAATTTGACTATCGGAACATTCAATGCCTTCATAAGTCAACGAATTTAACAAATTCGATGCATTACAGAACGAAAGCAATAGTATGCTTGAAAGTAAAAGTAAACGTTTCATTTTGCAGGTTGTAAAATATATGAATGACACAGGTTGATTGTTATACAATTTATTTCATCAAAAAGTAACTTTAATATCCAAAAATCTTGTTAAAATGTTCTTTCAGAATGACAGTCAAGAAGCATTTGAACATTTGAATAACCCATTTATCTCAAGAAAACATTTGCACCGACCATCGCATAAGCAAACTTCGAGGCAAAATTTCTTACCCAAGACATGCTGAGTCAAGCCTTAAATGTCAATGAGAATGGAAAAACTTTCAAGTACTTAATTAGCATAACTCAAATATAGGAGGAATATCTCATATTGCATGCCATCACGTCTATAGTTTTATAGAACAAATCAAATTTGGATTCTTGTACATTATGCGATTAAGAGGACGTGTAAAGAAGATTACTCCTCCTTGAATTTATGTTGTTTATTTTTTCAAATGTTATGCCGGTTCATAGCAGTATTAGTGGTCACCATTGGCACATTTGCATTTTGGAAAATGATACATTGTGTGTATTGAAAAATTAAAGAAATAGTCGAACAGAGTAAATTCTACTCCTAGTCTTTTATCGTTTCTGTAAATACACCTACAATGTTATCAAAACCTAAACATCGGGACAAATTTGCATCTCGCTCGATTTGGCTTGATGAAAATCTTTTTCTTTTCTTTGCATCGGCATTACTGTATGTGAAAATGTTTCTTTTATTTTTTTGTTGGTATGACAGTGTTATCAAAAAGTAAACACCTGGAACAATTTGCTGGCTTGATGTTAACAAACAAATGTTCATATCAGAACTGTCTCTATGCATGACTTATACTTAATCACTGAAGTAAACATGTTGTGTTGTTGAATAATTGGCTTTGATATTCTCTAATGACCGACAAGCCCGAGACAGTTTATCTCTAAGCTCTTTCCCCGACCATTGCAGCGAGATATTTGATCTGTCCAACATAACTTCAACATCGACAAAGTAGTCGATTTCGCTATTTGTCACTTTCCAACTTTGCTCTTTCGCAATAAATCGCAGTCTAGCATCAGGATACAACTCGGTCATGTAAGCCCTGACTGCTTCATTCCATTTCTCCCTATCTTGATAACCAAGAATTCGGCGAAGTAAGGATAGATCATTCAGTTCAACAATACACATGTCTATTTGAAAAGTGAATTGATTCATGAAAAGCAACGTTAATACAAATATTTTCTCAAAATATTATTGCTTTACATATATAAAATATACTATTTTGCATCTCAGTGATCACAATGTCAATTGTTTTTCCAAAATACGTTGATGCTCTAAACCACACAGAGAAAAGAGAATATTCGGAATTTCAAATGACAAAGGTATTATCGACAGAAGACGATACAATCAAAATTCTCGAAGACAAGATATTTAGCGTGAAGCATGTAGGTTTACAAACGCGCTTCAAAATCACAACATTCCAAAGCTAATACAACTTACTTACAATCAACTCAATTTTATATATGTTTATCGACAATAAGAAAAACAATTTAGGAATATGAAAATATTGTATAAGATAAACATGACATCTGATATCTTCTCATTTTGTCTTTTGACTTCTCACGATCAACATGAACTCGGATGATATTGATGAAACATTTACCTCTGATAATGTGCCTGCGTTAGACCAAATAGAACAGTCAAGCAACAAAAAAGATGAAGAAACTAACAAAGAAATGCAACGTCGGTCGGAACCTAAGTATTTGAGAGGTCATTGGTTTTTCCGAGAGACCTATCTTGACACAACTTCTTTTTCATATATATTCATTTCAAGATGGAGGTGTTCACTCCACGATGGAAATGAGATATTATGCCTCTCGTCATTGAAAAATCACTACAAACAAAAGAAAATCACTGACTTTTTTAGTTTCATGTCTGGGAATAGTCTAGAACCAGAAGTGACCTCTGTGAAAAGTCTACAATCAGAAGTTACCTCTGGGAATAGTCAAGAACAAAAATTGAAGATAAAAGTGCCCTATAGACTTTTTTAATTTGACATATGGGAATGGTTCAGAACCAGAAGTCAAGATAAACGTATCTAAAAGATGATGTGACAAATGCATTTAGCACTATCGTGATGAACACCAATGCTTAACTTGTAATCATGAGTGGATTCAGTGTTACTGGTGTATGATTTAACTAAAACATCCTATCAAAAGGAAAGAAAAAAAAAACAGAAGTCATGAAGAAATGCAAGAGAACATAAATTTAGAAAAAGAGGAAGAATCAAGAAGAAAAGAATAGGGTAGCATATATCTGGACAATAAAAGTGAATTCAGGTGGAAATGAAATATTGCTTTGTTCAAGATGTAACAATTGCCAGAGAATTGACAATTATCATGAAAAAATGCATTCAATCAACGCCTTAATTTGTGTATAAAAAGCGCAATGTCTCTACAATATCCTCATTTGTACTCAACTGTTCTTACAGTCAACATGAACTCAGACGATTTTGATGATACATTTACATCTGAAGATTTGCATACATTAGACCAAATAGAACAAACAATCAACACTAAAAGTGAAGGAATAACTTCCAATCCTGACAAAGAAAAACAAGATTACTTAGACTTGATTTTTGAAGATTTGCATACATTAGACCAAATAGAACAAACAATCAACACTAAAAGTGAAGGAATAACTTCCAATCCTGACAAAGAAAAACAAGATTACTTAGACTTGAAAACGTACTTTTTGGACAATGCGATTCCTAGTAACTTATCATTTTTAGCAACATGGATGGGATTCCCACGTCAAGTGTATAAGTGTATAGAAGCAGATCATCCGAGAAGGTGTCTGGACAGAATGCATGCTCTGTTTGATTTGTGGTATCCGATTGCGAAAGAAATAGGACACAAAAATGGCTTGTTACCAGTGCATATCCTATCATACGTAAAATATTCATATTCAAGCGCTCTGCAACGTGCACCAAAACTACTGGGTACGGATCTCAGAGCATTCGTTCACGAAAACGAAAAATTGATCAATAAAGTTATCGACCAGATTTCCAAAGAGTTGAAAAACAGCAACTTTTCTTGTACAAAGGTCTTTTTCTGTCAGAAATGTGGAGCGAATATTTCCTAAACATCAAGAAAGCTTCAACATTTTTTTGTCATTTCAAACACTCTCAATTGTTGTTCAGTTGTCAATTTTAACTAAATGTCTCTTAATAAAGTGTTTACTCATTTCTCTTATATTTTGTTGTTTGACATGAAGCGTGGTCTTCTACGACCCGAATACCAGGGACTAACTTGACATCGGCTCGATTTGGCTTGATGTATATGCCGCCGTCCTGTAACGACATTTAACTTTGCGCAAATGTGTAATCTGAAAAGGTCGTGTCATACACAAGCAGCAAGCAGGGTTATGTCTATAGTTAAACTTCTATATCATAAATCATGATATAAACGTAACAAGATGTTTGTTTCCGATCTATAACTTTCTCATTAATTGATGCCTTTTGAAATAATTCACAAATGATTAAAAATGCATAAATATATGGCAAATTGGGACAATGAGTTACATGTAAAACCCAGCTGATGATGTAAATCAAAGACCAAAATCATACTTTCCCTTCAAACAAAATATTCCCTTAAAGTCTCTAAAAAGTCTGGTTAACGATTTTGTCATTCATGGATGAATAAAAAATCATTTTGGGATAAATGTGGCGCCTCTTTATAAGACGACATGAAGCGGACAAAAGTTTCAAGATCACACTTGTATTTCAAAAGTCATGATATGAGAGTGCATTTGTGGCCATGTCCAGTCCATATATGTGTTATTCAGCGGGAGCTAAGAATAAATACGTGGTATTTTGAAACAATTTGTCTTGAGTGAGAAAAGAATTATCGCATAAAGTAGGATTTCAGACACTAAAGGTCATATTTCATTTCATATAAATATTTTGAAGGTCATGTCCGGTCATGAATTCTGTCATTCAATGGATGGATATTGGCGTAACTAGGCATAAGTTTGTGGCACATTAGGACTACTTGTAATGCTTAAACACTAGGTTGATAGCTAGATAGGTCAATATAGAACATTGATGGTTGTGTCTATACTTTTGTCATTTATTCATGGATGCTTTTAAAATAATAAGAAATACTGATGATATAAATAAATGCTTCTTAATGTTTCTAATGTTTGTAAAACTTGTAAGACTACAGTGACCATGCCTTCAATGTAAACAAGAGCTGTCACAGGAGACAGCCAAGCTCGACTAATAAAATTCTGGACGCAGTAAGGAGGACAAAACTATGAAAGAAAAATAAATTATGTATAATTATGTATTAAGTTATAGTAAAAAAATAACATTTGTTAACATAAATTCCAAGATCAAGGGGAATAATTCTAGAAATAGTCATGCTAGAGTTATGGACCTTGCCACACAACATTTGTGTAATGATAAGAAATATATAATTGAAGTTTGAAGTAGATACCTTAAAAAGTAAAGAAGTTATTATATTTCTTAAAGAAAATCCTAAGTTCAAAGAGAGATAAATCTGTAAATATTGCTTCAAGAGTTATGAACATTGTCACATAAAATGTAATTGATGATAAGGAATAAGTATTTGAAATTAGAGGTAGATACCTTTAAAAATAAAAAAGTTATAATAAAAAATAACATTTTTCTAGTAAAAAAATCTAAGTTTATGGGGAGATAATTCTTGCAATATTGGTGCTAGAGTTATGAACCTTGTCGAATAAGATGTGGATGATGATAACGTAAATATATTTGAAGTATGAAGTTGATCCCTTTAGAAATAAATAAGTAACAGTAAAAAATAATATTTTTTATGGAAAATTCTAAGTTAAAAGGGAGATAAATCTGAAAATATTGGTGCTAGAGTTATGAACCTTGTCACATAAGATGGGGATGATGATAACGTAAATATATTTGAAGTATGAGGTTGATCCCTTAAGAAATAAAGAAGAAACAGTAAGAAATAGTATTTTTTGAGGAAAATTCTAAGTTCAAGGGGAGATAAATCTGAAAATATTGGTGCTAGAGTTATGAACCTTGTCACATAAGATGGGGATGATGATAAGGTATATATATTTGAAGTATGAGGTTGATCCCTTAAGAAATAAAGAAGTAACAGTAAAAAATAGTATTTTTTAAGGAAAATTCTAAGTTCAAGGGGAGATAAATCTGAAAATATTGGTGCTAGAGTTATGAACCTTGTCACATAAGATGGGGATGATGATAAGGTACATATATTTGAAGTATGAGGTTGATCCCTTTAGAAATAAAGAAGTAACAGTAAAAAATGTATTTTTTAAGGAAAATTCTAAGTTCAAGGGGAGATAAATCTGAAAATATTGGTGCTAGAGTTATGAACCTTGTCACATAAGATGTGGTTGATGATAAGGAACATATATTTGAAGTTTTAAGTTGATACCTTAAGAAATGACAAAGTTATAGTGAAAAATATTTTACTGCACAAAAACTTTAATCTAAAATCTGGACGCGGACGCGGACGCCGACGCCGGGCGAGTAGGACAGCTCTCCATATACTTCGTATAGTCGAGCTAAAAATGGAAATTTTTAAAGAAGATTAACAAAGAAAGGTGGCATTCAATAAACGCAGCCCCAACACGACCCAGCAACAAAGGTAATGGATCCTTAACTGAGCCGAGTTTCGGAGACATTTCAAGTGGCACGCCCTTGTTTATCTTTGTTTTACATAATTGTCAGGGTGGTCCAAAATAGTTGGTACAAATTTAAGTGACTAAAATTACACTAAGAAATACCAAAGTAATTTTATGGGGTGAAAGTTGAAAAAATATGCGATAAAATGATATCAAAAATATGTTATATCATAATGGAATAAGATACTCTTCAATTTCTTAAAAGATAGCCAAGAACAAAATAAGTATGAAGATTTGAATATATCTTAGTCACTTGAATGATTTTAAAACATGAGATTGAATAAGGTGCAGCGTCCTTGGCAAAGTGACATAATTATAATGTAGACGTTGATATTAACTAAGACAATGAATAAATACCAATGAATTAAGACAAAACGCAAAAAAAAACTCGTATTTTCAGTTAAGTAAATAAAATTTAAAGACATAGGCTTCGACGGCATATATTTTACATAATTTAGTAGCAAAAAACCAAAATGCTCTATCAAGTCATTCTGTGTTAATAAAAAAGTGTAAACAGCAGTGAATCGTCAATATATTAATTGCAGAATTGGTATCAATTAACTGTCTAATCTTCTATGCATGTACTATCATCAAATACCCGCGGTAGACCTATAATGTTTTACTCTATATTATTCATTAACCGTAAGACAGTGCAAGCTCGTAGACTGTTTATGGTTCATGTTTGCGAGACTTTTTTTCAAGGTGAAAGATAATAAAGATTAAAATGACTTTACCATTTATTTGAGTTTATTTCAATTAATAAATAGATGATCTGTTTTTAACCATGTCTAGGCATGTTTAAAGTTTGATTGATAAATACGACCCTTTATAAAGTAGCTATATCAATACAACAATAAAAAGTATCGTATAAACACATCTGCGGATGTTTCTAAATTCCAAATCTCACAATTTCCCCCTTTGATATATGAATTTTGCGTAGGCCGGTGCTAGGGTGCTTGGACGGTACTTTGCAATTTCCAGTAACGTCCATGTACAGGCTCAATCAAATCGAGCCTAAAACGTTTTCAATTTTGCCGTTTTGATCGCTGTTTTGGGATTCTGTTGTTGTTGTTTTTTTTCTATTTGAAATCGGGTCGTACAAAAGATATTGTTGCAAAGACATGCGGGCTCAAAGACATAGTCGCTGACCTGTGAAGATGACAGGCAATTTTTAAAATATTTACATACTGACCTTGACTCTTGGCATTCAAATTATAAAATGATCTAGTGTCCATAAAGGTTTACACAAATGCTATTCTATCAAAATAAAGATTACTTAAACATCTAATGGTAAATTAAAATGTGCAGGTTTTATGTAAGACATTTTGGATCTCAGATACCTGATATAGATTAATTGTCCAAAAAGAATGACCTGTGATAGTTTGAAGTAATGATGTAAATTAAAGTGTGCAGTATACCTACACAGTGTGTACAATTCGACATGACATGTTGCTCATATCATTATTCAATTATTGATACTCATTCGTACAGAAGGATCCATTTGTTTAAAAGCACTTTACTTATATTTATTAAAAAGGTGTCCATTTTGAAATCAAAGATGGCCGGCATAGTAGTCAATGTGTAAAGCATGTACAATTATCAGTCAATTATTCTTTAAAGTAATTGAAAGTTTATTCCATGTAGATTAAGGGAAATACGATACGATATGTACCAGAAAAAATAATTTTTTAAGTAGATGGTAAAGGACAATGGCGGCCATTTTGATTTGACCTTTTGAAGGTCAAGGACTTCAAGAACAGCCGTGGTAGAGCAATAAATGGATTATGAATTATGTAAAAACGATTGACTACCTGCTTGTACTAAAAATGCCGTTAGACTTTTAACGGAGGGTCTTTTCTGAAAATCAAACCCGTCTATTCTAAGTAACTGTCGTCACCTTGACTCGAAAGTACTGTAACTTACATTTAAACAAGAGCCGGTCGAACTGGATGGTGCTCCACGAATAGGTTTTGGGCACATATAAGTAGTTAATTGTTGATATCTCTTGTAGTTTCACAATTATGTCCCGGACAAAGTTCACAGTGTACAAATATAGGACAATAACTCCAAGGGGGAAATCACGCCGTTCGTTATTGAAGTATGGGACAAAACATAATGAAATAAAGTCCTGTGTGCCCAGAAAATTGTGGAGAAGGATGTTATATGTACCCTTACACTAGAACATTACTCATTTAAAAAAAGGAAAATACTTACTTTTCGGCTGCAAATGCCATCTTGTTTGTTTTGGTAACGAAAGGCGTGATTCTCCCCGGTGAACTCAAACATAAG